ACCCGGAAAAGCAAGAGCGCTTGCGCTCAGAGGTAAGGAGTGTACTGCCAGAAAAGCTTGGCGATTTCACACCAAATGTATTGGACAATATTCCGTATCTGCGTGCATGCATTAAAGAATCACTGCGCATTTACCCAGTATCTGTCGGGAATATGCGTGTACCGCAAAACGATCTCATTTTAAGCGGCTATCGTGTACCTAAAGGCACTTGGGTGAGCATGATTTCATCAACTCTACAATCGGATGAACGGTTTTTTCTGCGCCCCTTGGAATATTTACCGGAACGTTGGTTGCGAACGGACGAAACTATCAGCGAGGAGGGTGTGCGATCATTAAAGCCAAGCAACCCGTTTGTTTATCTACCATTCGGTTTTGGACCGCGCATTTGCCTAGGACGTAGAATAATAGACTTGGAAGTAGGGCTGGCAATGGCAAGATTAGTTAGGAATTTCAAAATAGAATTTAATTATCCCACCGACAAGCCATTCAAGGGTATGCTAATCAATATGCCAAATATACCCTTAAAATTTAAATTAACTGACATTGAGTAAAAAGAAGCAGAGAATATTATACTGATTTTTTGTTGTTTTTTTTTCGTATCATCTATTAAAAAAAAAAAAACGCAATAAAGATTCACAAAATACGCCAAAGGCATTGTTTTCACAAAATTAAATGAAATATGTATGTATGTAAAAAAAATTGCAAATATACATACATATATGTATAAGCAGGTTTGTATACATATACATATGTACATTAGAGTGGTTCATAAAAACACTCTTTGGAAATTCATAAACGCTGCATCAGAATATTGTTATTTTTGATAAAAAAGAAAAACGTCTTTTTTCTGGTCGGTATTTTATAAAAACGCTGATGTTCTCTAACATACATGTATGTATGCATGTATAAGTGTTCCACTTGGAATATAGGTACCCAGCTGAAAAAAATTATCAATTTATAAAAAATAACCCAGTTGTAGTTAGCTTTTTTGTGGGATTTCTATAAAATATATAACCCGAAGTTAGCTACAAAAAGCTAACTTGAAACTAGTTGACAAGTAACGCAGGAGTAATGAAGGAGATGGTTTTCTTTAACCGCATTTCTATTTAAATATCCTGCACCTCGCAAATACTTTTTCGAATTGAGGACAAATAAAAGGAAGATCGAAATTTCATATTATCATTTTGAAGTTATGTCTGACGGAGTTAAAATATGGGACCACCTACAGGAGAATATGTAAACAAATATGAAATGTAATAAAATAAATAAAGTAAATAAAAATAAAAAAATATAAAAAAAAATATTATTTAGCTAGTTACAAGTTAGTTACATAAAATTCAGAGGTAACTACACTACATTTTACTACATTTAATGCAGAGGTAACCACCCTTGACTATTTCGCGGTCATCGCCATACAAATATAGTTAGCTTTCGTCAAAGAAAATATACAGATCATAAGTGACTTTTAGCTACTTCCTAATCAACTTAAAGTTAGCTTATAGATAGATACATTTCCTGCAGGGTAAGCACCTTACGAGATAATCCATGTCTTCTTTCAGCTTTTAGTACCAAAACTGTCATCATGATTAATGCCTAACAAAAAACATACCAAAACGCTTCTAAGAGTACCAAAAATTTTTTTTTTAATTAACTTCGCTAGAATAATGTGTCACAAAAATTATATAAAACTTAAAGCTTAATGGCAAACAATATGTGTTGGAACTGAGAACTTTTCACAATGTCGATAGGCCAAATTTTTTACTTTAATTTTCCCGCTATTCTTTCATAAAAATTTAGTTTGTATTATAACAAAAAACATAAAAATATATTTTCTAACCTCTGTTCAAAACTCGATTTTTTAATCACATTTTTTTATTACTTTTATGGGTATGCAGTTCTTAGTTAACTGCTGCTTTATTCCATGCCTCACAAAAGGAGCCCATGAAAAATTGGTGAACCAATCAGCTCTAAATCTTCTTTTGTTTTCAACACTGAATAATATCTAAGTAGTCATAAGTAGCTAGAAATAGAAATTACAGATATTTTATAAAAATCCGATTCCCTGAGGTGAATTAATGTAATTCGCTCTTCGCTTTTTAATAAAAAATCTGTAATTAAACCACAAATTTACTAAAGTTATTGCCTTCCGGCCGGGTGCAGTGTAAGTTGCTGCAATATTACGAGTTCATATTTCCTACGGGGCTTACGTACATATACATACACACATACATATGTACATATGCATATCTAAGCCTTAGTTCTTTCGCCTTATTGAACTATATTTCGCCTAATTGAACTAGTTCGGTAGTAGGAGCTGAGTTCCAGAGCAACAAAAATAAATGTTTTATAACACATTCTTACATATAAAAGATTGCAATAAACACACAATTCAGTCATATTTCTCCAAAATCACGAATGGATGTTTATGGAAATTCGACAGTGCCTGTATTAAATTTTCTTTTCTTCAATTTTGCCCTCCGAATTCGAGTAAATTGCTCTTCGCTTTGGCATCTGAAAGAGAAAGCCATTTGTTAAACAACAAATCCTAAAAGCTCAACTCAATCACCTACTTTTTAATACAAATTGCTCTAAACGAGCGCTCTCTAAGCATATGTGGGTTCACATATACGAAGAGCGGGAGCAAAGCAGTGTATTTAATGCACACGGGTTTTGCTTAATTTCTTTTCTAGCAGATAATGATAATAAAAATATTACAAGGTAATAATTATTGTACCATGGGTAAAATCATTGAGAGGCAGTCTGACGTTTGGCAGCAATATAATTTTAAAATTCAAACTCAAGCTCACACACACATTCTCATTTTTAATCTCAAAAAACAACAGTTGTGAACGATTTCATATTTTTATTTTGAATTTTATATGATTTTAAAATGTTTGCAGAAAAAAATCATGACCGACGAATTGAGAGAATGATTTTACCATCTAATGTTTTTATCACGGCCGATAATTATCAGGAAGAAGTAGATGGGAAAATTGAATGAATTACGCTCACAGAGAGCGAAATAAAGTAGTTAGAACCAAATTGTTGATCGGTGTATTTGACTAAATTTTACTAGCAGAAATTAGCAGGATAGCTAAAAAAATAAAAGCGTAAGAACGAGAGGGAGTTGCTAGTTTCTGCTAGTTTTATGGGTGAAGAAACGCTTTCCAGCGGAAATTAATGATAATTTATGATAATTATCTGTTATGAAACAAAGCTAAGGTCTCACTTACTGAATCGTGGTGAATCGTTTGAATGTGTTAGCATTGCAAATTAAATGAAATATTAGGTAGATTCAGAAGGCGCAGTAGTTGAAAGCAATCGTTGATAAAAAAATCGGTGATCGTTATGCGACTTCTGCATGGCATGGTACACTAGCTGTCAAATTCAACTCTCAAAGGTACACATCAACATGTTGTCTCAAATGATCATAAAAATATTACGATCACTTAACACGCAACTGTTCAGTTGATCAGAAGTACACAACAACGCGTTTAGAAGGTGCAATCGCAACTGTTGCTGAGCTGTTGCACCTTCTGAAAGAGCCCATTATGCCTTTTTAACGTGAATTCCCATCAGCTGTTGCTTTATGCCTTACAACGAAAAACGTGTTCCCATATGTGTTGTAAAATTACATTTCCATTTATTGGAGTGTTGTCACAGACAAGTTTAGTTCACTTTAATGAGCGAAGAAATGAACTAGTTCAATTAAAAGAGCTGACTCTATCGCTGTTAAGTTCAAAGACTGCCCAAGCCTAATTTGAATGCATATGGGTATTTCCACGAGAAGCTCACTTTGCTCCGAAATGTAAAGTGTTTATGAAAGTCGATTTTTATTTGAAAATATCACAAAGAAATATTGAGATTTTCATAGTCTTAATGATTTTTAATCTAACTCAGTTTACATATGGCTTTATGTTGCTTGTTTATGGGTACGTATTTTAAGCTAACCTTTTTATGAAACAATACGGCAGCAATATTGAACCAAACTGCTTTAAGGATGACGAGGTAGCCGGCTTAATTTTTATCTGGAGAAATTCCAACCACGGCATACCTCAAACTCAATTATTAAATAAAAAGTTTATAGAAATTTGCATTTTTAGTTATTCATTCAAATTTTTTTAACTTTACTTTACAAAATGGAACACGGAAAACCCTGTACAATGTAAATTTAAGGAAATTCATATGTGCGCTTTCTGGATACATTATTGTGGACGAAATTGTCACCTTACGTGCCAGTTTATAGCTTCTAGGAATAAAATTGTATATACATAAATATTTGAAAACACTTCTAGTTTTAATAAAAAGTTCTATCTCACTACACAAATTTTTATTTTCCTATGACACTTATACAAACAACTTATATTTTTTTAACGTGGCAATATATTTACCAAGCCCAAATTACCGAAATATCGCAGCTTTAGAACCTAATATAAAGCTACTGACGTGAGGTCTAAAAATCTTAAAAAATTATCTAAATATTCCCAATATCTTTTACTTTTCGACTTTACTTCGCGGTCACGTTCGTAACCCATGGAAATGCCCATATTCATATGTACATACATACAAACGCTTTTATGAGGTCTTATCAAATTGTATGCAAAAAACGAGTATTCAGTTGAATTGCAGCAACGAGCGCGTTAGGTACTCGAAACTCAAATTATAAAAAAATGTTTTATGTAAAAATCAAATGTGTCGCGATCGGTAAACGCTGCCTCACAAAGAGCTTTCAGGTGATACCAAAACGATCGTTGTCAACAAAGGTGAAAAATAAAGCTGAGAGACACAAATGAAATGGTTTTTTTTTTTTTTTGTTTACGAGTGTTGCCCTTTGTACGTTTAAATTTATACGACCTTTGCAAAATATGTACTTTAAGCGCCGTTCTCACCATCTCTGGATAACGTTGTCTGATTAACATTAACTGCAGGTTAACATCATTATCTACTTTATATCATATAACAGGGAGTTGAAAACATCGATAGCGATGTTTAACCAATATATATATTTTATTTACCGGTTTTGAAAGTTAACATGGTGTGCATTAATGACACCAAAGACTTCGCTCCAATTTTATTTTTTTGACGAGTTGTTTGCAAACAAATAAAAATCGAAAAGTCAACTTTCGGTAGCTCACTTGTAAAAACTGGACTCATATATAAAATAATAACCACTTTCGTTGTTCGGGCTTAACTCAAAAACTACTGTATAGATTTCAAATTTATTTAAACTTTTAAAGTTTACGACATACAACAATACGACACTTACGACACCGTTGTGAATCGCTCAACTATATTTAACTATATATGGGTATAACTTATATTTAAAAAAAAATTAATATAGACCCTTATCATTCTAAGCCCTTCATATATGGTTCTATTATAGGCTACCAGAAACTCGCTAGATGGCGCTGGGATCGAGTTATTTATAAAAGTCGTATTTATGAGCCGATTTCGTTCAAATTCAAAACGTGCAATCAGAAACAAAATTGATGTTTCGTTTGTTATTGGCTACCATTGGTGTTTTAAAAATGGAAAATTCAGAAAAACTGTTCATTGCATTGCAATGCCCGCTGGAGTTAAGGTATTTAGAGAATCCGTATCTATATATATAATACGCGAAGAGATTTTTTGTTCCGCATAAAAGATCTATACCACCGTTCGCCCGATTTTCAAAAATGAGATACCAAATTAAAGCGCTTAGGCTGAGGATGTGCAAACTGGTTTTAGTT